TTTGTCTCTTGAAGTTTTAAGGGCTGGATGTCCCAACTCAAGGAACTGGCAAATCCAGTGATCAATGAGGATTCTTTTCTGTAGAGGAGAACAAGAATTTTGACTGCATAAAGGGGAGGAACAAAGTGTGGTGCGGGGAAGAGAGAGAGAGAGAGAGAGAGAGAGAGAGAGAGAGAGAGAGAGAGAGAAAGGATGAGTCCATTTGCTGTTTTTCATGTCACTATAATAAAATACTTAAAGAAAGAGAATTAGTCTGTGACAGGAATGAGCCTTCCTATTAGTTGTCCAATGCAGAGTGCTCACCCTTGAAACAATGTACACACCACCCATAAAAATGGACTCCCCGTATCATATTTACATGCATTTGTAATACACATGTGTTCATAACAATAATTAGATAGAAGTAGTCTGTTAGCTTGAAAGAGGGAGGGACACGGTGGGGAGCTTGTGAGAGTGTAACAAGAAGGGCTTGGAGGGGGGCAAGTGATATAATTCTATTTCAGTTAAAAACGCATTAAAATAATATAGAAATAATAATGCCAAAAAGAAACAATTTAAGGAAGAAAGAACTGATTTGGAATCACAATTTGAGAGCATATCAAGAAGGACATCATGGTTTGTGGTTAGGGCAGCGGGAGTAAATAACGCATGCATGCATACATCTTCGTGGATCTGGAAACAGAGAGAGACTGAACAAGAACTGGGGACATGTTAGAGCTCTTAAGTGGTTCCCAGTCCAGTCATCCACTTCTTCCTGCAAAACCCCACTTCCTGCAGTCTTCCCAACCACTCAAAACAATGCCACTGGCTGCAGATTAAATGCTCAGACCCAGGAGACTGTGCAACACATTTCAGACACAAACCATAACAAAAGAGAGAACACTCTGGTGTCTCTTCTCCTACTCCTTCTAGAAAGAGATTTTTTAATTAACTCACAGAAGACAGAGACTAAAATATTCATTAGGGGGGGTTAAAAAATGAGCATGAGTGTCTGCAGATTGTGACAACCTGGCATATCCACAAAGCAGATTAAAATCTATGTGGCTAAAGCACCGTTTGCAAGAGGCAATGTATAGAGCGAGGCTGACGTCTAGACTGGAGAGGTACAATGCAGAGTCTCGGTGATGTGGGAAGGACTTAGGATTGTACAATTTACTGTGGAAAATGAGACTCTGTTACTGATTTTAACCACGACCACCGTGTTCTTCTGTACTTCAAAATTCTGTGCTTACTTGCAAGGTATTTATTCATAACACCCAAGTCAATTCTTGTGACACTTTTGTGTTTATCTTGATGCATGTCTAACTAGTTGATATGGGGCAAGGTGACACTGTGTCACTTCTTTGGTGCTCAGATTTCAGTGTTTCCTGGATGTTTTGAATGTTGCCACATTTTCAAACATTTTGATTTTTTAAATTTTATTAAATGTTCTTTTTCAAATGGCCCTCTGTTGTGTGTTGGAAGGCTGTCTGATGTTCATGAATGTAATAGGGAATGATAAGACTTACTAAGAAAATATTTGGTACCAAGATGTGCACTGCAGTCTCTTCACCATGACCTCACCATTAGCAAACTAATCATATATTAAATAAGATTACCTCTAAGCCAAGTTATTAGTTGTTTAATCTATGACATTGTTTAGTGGATAAAACATTGTGACCAAGGGCTCTCAGGGACATTTCTGTATTTTCCCTCTCAGTATTGAATAAGTACCTTCTAGTTCTTCATACCTTAGGTTAATTTTCTAAGGCATAATAGCAGAGAATATTGAGAATTGCATACATATATTAAACTGTCACCTTGCTACAATATGGAGAAAAAGAGAAAAAGTCAGAACTCCCCACCCCCGCCAAGTCTCAGTAGCTAATACAAAGATGAAGGCAACCTGTATCAGGCTTAGAGTAGAGATAGACAGAGAGACAAATTTAAGGGTTTGGGATCAACCAGACATAGAGACTTGGGAAGGGGTCTTTGGGTCCTTTTCTGATGTCTTCAGTTGCTACTTCACATTTCTGGAGCATCTGCAAAGGTTCCATGCATATAACTCTTACATTATGAGAGAATAAGATATGCTTATAACTTATCTATTTAATTCATTTATAAATATGACCATTTAAATCTTTAGAACATGATGCCGACACTGACCATTTCATTTAGACTATGGTTGGCATTACTTTGTTAGTGCAGTTTTGATTCATTTATTCTTCTGACATATATTTAATGTCAAGATTAATGGCTCTTAATGACTACTATATCAGTCGCTGCTGGGCATATCTTCTTCCTTGACTTACAATACTGTTATTAGCCAGCTTGTGCTAACCAGGATTTGCCCCATAATCTAGCAACCTTATGCAGGAAATTTTCTTCCCATTATCAAGCTAAAAATTTCTCTGTAGAGTGGAAGATTTTGTATATGAATAAAAGATAGTTAATGACAGCCATAGATGTGACTGCTATGAAGTACCCATCTTTTTTATTTGTAATCAATTCAAATAATACTCCATCCCTTGATCTGAGAGGCTTCTGAAAAGAAAGTAGTAATTGATGAATGTTTTGGTCGCTAATCATGAAGATACAAAAAGTAAAAATTTCAAATTAAATATAAGAACATTTTAGTTTTAAAGATTAAACAGTAAAGACATGAAGGCCAAATGTTTACCTTACATTAGCCCAGAACTGACCAGAAAAGAATAGGCATAAGGAGAAATGCAAGTAAGCATAGAGCATAGATGGTGCTTACGTCCTGAAGTTGGTGTTCATAGCAACTCAGTGTTGTGGAGATGTTTTCCTCCAGTGCCTAGGTTCTAGGAAAGACCTTATCCCGATTCCAGTGGTTTGAAATTTGAACCACTATATCCAACAAGATGTTTTATCTCTTCTTCCCAGGATTGTCTTGGAAAAGTGATGCGGACCAACTCTGGCCAAAGAAGCACGAAGACTAGTCTTCTGGGGTAAGTTTTAAGAACGATTGTCCACTGGTAAATAGACAGATGAAAAATCTACAGCTTTCAGGGTGGAATAATGTGAGCCAGTGTGACCTGGAGATGTGGACGTGCTTTAGAGCTACTTCTGTGAAAGTATGGGGACAAGAGCTGTTGCCCCCAAAAAGTGTGTTAAAGGACCGAGGTACTAATGATCGGAATCAGTGATTTGATCAAACCCAGAGATGTAAAATTGTTATCTGCAGATTAAAATTATTAATGCTTAAGTCATTTTGATTGGAGCTTCCTATGACTTGCTGACTAAAATATCCTGCTATGAGTCACCATTTAGTTTATGTCTTTTTCGTCTTTTATTTGTTGCAAAATATATGCAGTTGATTGACGATTCAGAAAAGATGTTGCATCTTATAACAGAACATTTTTGATTCAAAAAATGTTAGCAAAAGAAAGGCTAATTAATTGACAACACATCACCAAATTCCATCCATGAACACCTTCTAGCAGGAAAGGTTCAATGGGCATGAGGGATGTGCTTTATTAACTAATAACCTTTGAGGGAAGATAAAGCATGAAGATAAGTGAGTATAATAATACACAGCAGTATTTAAATAATAGTAGTTACTATTGACTGCTCTCAGACCACCAATGAAGCAAAGTAGACTCTTTTTCAGGAAGTATGCAAAGGGAAGAGTCATTTGAAATAAGTTCTTATGGGTGTACTAGACACATTAAATTCATTAAGCTAAGCAAAGAATGTCTTCAACAAACTCTTAGGACCTACTGTGACTTCTGTGTCTTTCAGGGACAATGAGACCCAAAAATAATAAAATAGAAGGAGATGGATTGGGAGAGATATTCCCTTAACACATGTTCATTCTCCCAGATTTTCCCAAGTGTGTACATGTATGTGTACATGTGTGGATGAGTGTGTGTGTGTGTGTGTGTGTGTGTGTGTGTGTGTGTGGTTAGAAGTTTGGCATACGCACGTGACAGTGTATGCACAGAAGACAGACAATTACCTCCCATGCCTCTCTTCACTTTCCACCTATTTAAAAACAAGGTCTTCTTATTGTTCCATGCTGCATACACCAGACTACCTGGCACCTAATCTTTCTAGGATTCTCCTGCCTCAACACCTTCCATATCGTAGCAGGAAGAGAGGGACTAAAGACATAGACCACTACATCCTGCTTTACATGGGTTCTGGCGGGAGGTGGACTTGGGTTTCCTTGCTTGCCCAGAAAGGACTTTACCCATTAAACCATTTCCTCAGTCCTTCGATCTTTGAGTCCTGAGAAGTCTCTCCTTTCTGTTGACATTTACATGGAAGTGCAGCAGAAGCAGGTCCTGATCCATCCAATGTCTTTCAACTACCCCATGAATGTCTTTCAAGAAACTTAAGACAGCATAGTGCATCACTGAAAACTGCAACCTGACGCTCATAGTCATAATAATTCAAAGGAAAGTCAAAACAATTCAATTATTTTACAGGCCACCTCAGGACAGTTATGTGACATCATCCGGCATTCAAAGCCACCTCTTGGAATAGTTAGGATCGTTTTAGCTGTATGAATAAGTGCATGTATTCCTTGCCCAAGGTCAACTAGAAATCAGAAACTATACTTTGCCTCTAGGTATGTCTCACTCCCAAACCCAAGTTTATATCCTGCATAAAATCCCGCCGCGCAATCTCACTGAGGCTGCTTCTGCATTTCACCATGCTGAAATAGGTTTAGAGGTATTCCCCTCTTTCTTCTGATTTGTTCTTTTCTAAACACTTTATTTGCTTTGGTGTATTATTAGCATTATATAAAGACTATTCGTGAGAAATATCTGATATTTATTATTAGAAAATAACCTATAATCCACCATTTTGTTTTTAATTAATGAATAGCTACCAAAGTTTCTTCAATCCCAGCGGATCAGCCAGCTAGTTACTTTATATAAGCGTGAAGTATTCACTGTTCCCTGGCCCAAATTTCGTCCTGTAAAGAACAGAGGGCTGAGTTTAATTGGAAATAAATTTCACAAATGCATCTTGAAAGGTATAGATTTTATTTTATTCTCCACAAGTAACTTGTCACAAAGGTACCCTGGATTTCAGAAAGGCTTTTGTAGCTATTTGGATTAAAAGTGCAAGTAAAATAGAAAGATATGAAACCTTCTAGCTTCTCCTTTCAAATAATTTAACCCACAAGTCACGTCCTTTAAAACTCTTCTAAGTGCAGACTTGTCCGAAACACCAAAGGCCACAAAATGCCATAGAAGCGAGAGTGGGTGGTTGGCCTTTGAGTTAGTGTAGCCTGGCCTTGCTTCCTCTGACCTGGATGGTTCACGGTTTGGTCCTTTTTACATCAGCTTTAGAATGGCTTTACGTGGGATGCTTTTAAGTAACTGCCGGATGGCTGAAGTGGTTCCCGTAACCAATCAGCGCTTACTGCAGTGGAAAGCGTAGTGGTACTCACAGGGCACGACTCTTGAAATGTAAAATGAAAACATAAAGCAAATAAACACCTGAGGAAGACTGTGGTACCGAACACAAAATCAAAACAAACTTCACACTGGTTTGTATTTTACGTTTAGAAGAAATTCGCTAGCAAAGCATTTTCCTTGTCAAAAGAGACCGTTAGGTCAGTGTTGTAATTAAACACAAGACATGTTGTATTCCAAACTATAGATCATCAGTTTGTTTGCAATTATTTTTCTTCTTTGTAATCTTCAGACACTGACTCTTCTTTCTGACTCGTGTTTACATTCCATCACACTTGCCCACGGACTTAAAAATGCCTTTGAGCATGTGACAACGGTACTCTAGGAAGACAGTGAACATGGTCATATCTGTGGTTCTGTCTGACCTCTGCTTGTAAAGGGGTCATGGAAATAAGACACCACACTGGATAACAGACAACATCCGGGCATCTGAGCCTGAATATGTTTGTGGGTATATGTCTGTATCTGTGTGAATCTCTGTCTGTTTGGCATGTCTGTGTGTGTGTGTGTGTGTGTGTGTGTGTGTGTGTGTGTGCATGTGCACGTGCATGTGCGCACATGTGTACATCTCTGTGTCTGTCTGTAGGTCTGTGCATTTGTATGTGTTTTCACGGCAAATATTTAAAAATTGAAACCATGGCAGTATTTGTGGAAAAATCCAAAACAATTTCATTTTGAAGGAAACGATTTTCAGCTCAAGTGAAACTAAAATAAAGGGGTTGGGGCAAAGGAAAAATAGGTTTGGAAGGGCAGTAGAAAGTTGGCCATGATGAGAATAAAAAAGACGTTTGTAAGTACTGTAACTTTTTCCTTCTTTTGTTGTTATAATGACAGTGGATCCTAGTCATATCACGATATTTTATTTTAATTAACCAATAAATATATAAATAATAGATTCAAAACAGATGCTCTTGTTTTAAACTAAGCCTTCCATGGAAATCCCCTGCTATTTCCCCGTGAACTTTGCTGTGCCCCTTCATCCCACAAGAAGAAGCTTTGCCTCCAACAGTATCAATGTGTCAATGTGTTTACCCACCTGCTCCATCTGCTGATATCACAACACGCCCACTATGTAGAAGTCAAGGTTTACACTCCTGGCACAGCAAGAATGTCAAGGTAGGATAACATCTTTTGAGCAATATTATTAGATTGGCCTGAAAATGTTGCCAAATAGGAAATACTTATTAGAAATGTGTTTGAAGAGAATAAACAGTTCTTTTCAGTTCCTAATTCTTTCTCTTATTCAGGGACCAAAGAGCAAGGACATGTCGGGGGAAAACACAATTGTCCCTTTCTTCTTTCTATGACTGCTAATAACAGGTTAGTGAGGAATGTTAAGACAAGTGAACATACATGGTAAGAATTAACCCTTGTGTCTCTTTACAAAATGTATTCTGTGAAATGGTAAGAGTAAAATTATTTCACAGCCAAATACATTTACTTTTAATCCCTGTGGAGACTCTTGGAGCCCTTATTCCTTATTCTGTAACATTAGCACACATAAGCATGCTAAAGAGGCATGGTCAGGAAGCAGGAGACACTACATTCAAGGTCTCCAGGACCTTGGTGGATCACAGAACACTACCTGTACACTTTCTCTTCAAGAAAAATAAGAAGGCAGTTATCACAACATATTGTTGTGGTCTCTTAATTCAGTCACTATGGTATCTGTGACAAGAGTCTCAGGCTGTAAATCAATTCACTTTGTGGACCAGTATAGCATGAATAACAAAAACGCAGAGACAGATATTGGGGTTCCACCTAAAGTTCAGAAAAGCAAAATCAGCCAATCCACTAAGAGCTCTTACCTCTTTGAAACCTTCATACTGAAAAAAAAGAGCTAGTTAACTGTCTCATCTTGCCTTATATTCCTTTCTAGGGCTGAGATTAAAGGTGTGCACCCCTACCGCCCGACTTCTGTGGCAAACTAGAGTGGCTGCTAGGATGAAAGGTGTGTGCAACCATAGCCTGGCCTGTATGACTGACTAGTGTGACTGCTTTGCCCTGAGCTTCAGGCAAGCTTCATTTACTAAAATACAAAGGAAATATTACTACAAACCAGAATAGAAAGATTATCTCCTGGGTATACTGAAGGAAGGCAATGGAGCTCAAACTGCAGTGGACGACAACATGCCTTCCTCATGGTTGGTTGTCTTCTTTTGGGAGAAGTGTTTCTTTTTATACAGCAAGTTCCTTTGTGTCCAGGATCCTGGGATTCAGTTCTCATTATGCAAAGGTCATTCATGACTAACCCATGGCCTCTTCTGGGAAGTTAGCGAGTCACTGTGTAATTTCTAGTTGCCAAGCAAATAAGGACATGACTGGTTGATCAAAGGTCAGCCCTGATCAAAAGCTCAGGACACAGGGTTCTTGGGCCCAGCTTTATGCTATCTGGCTATAGCATTTCACAGCCAGCAGTTTGAGATTTTGTACCAAATTTATAAAAATTTCCGAACTAGGGGCTGGCTCTGTTTTCCAGCTGGTCTCTTGTTTGTGGCCTTTTCTAGACATAGACGGTTTCATACTTAGCCTATGATTTAATTCATAGCCCGACTAGGTGAAAGCCCCAGGAAGACGATATGTTTATATACTATCCCTACTCATTTTTTTTCCCAATGCAGTAGAGTGTAGGGCACATGGATGACCTTTGCAAAGTGCCTCGCAGCCAAAACTTCCATAATTTGGTCCATACCATGAATTAGACATGAACTGAAAACAGCATCACTGAGTTACATTCTATATCCATGAGATAAGCGCTTGGAGCAAACAAAGCTACTAATTCTATAAAAGGCAGACTATCTGGTCAGATGTTATTTTTCAGTATTGAGTGTGCGCAGAACTAATCAGCCAGGAGAGTGAATTGGTCATCTGACAAAGTTTAAGTCATATGAGAGTTTGGATGGCAGGACTTCATTGTAAAGGTCCCAGGGAGTGTCAAGTCCAGCACTGTTCTGGAGACAGATGAACTTCGTGTACTTGCCTGCAGTTATTAAACCTTGGAATCTTTTAAATAACTCTCCTTGTTTTAATTTCAAGGTCTGCCTATGGGCAGATAACTTCCTCATCATATAGATGAGGGTGCCATAGTTCTTATTTCACACACAGAATTCATTAATTTATACTATGTTATACTCATAACTGTGTGTCTGTGAATCAGTACAGTTTGTTTCCTGCATGAGCTATGTTAGTATGAGTTAACCCTAAGACAGCTTCTATGGAGAATCTTTCCCTTTCATCCTCCTGATTTTTTTTCCTTCTTTCCCTAGTTATATTGTATATCATTATAGTGTAGTCTTTTTCTCTAAATTGTTTTTAAATGAGTTCATCTATGTTTTAATTAAATGTTATAATAAAGAATAATATCAAAGGTTATGTTGCATTATTCGCCTTTCCTAAGAACGATACATAAAAGTGGATAACTATGCAAATGAAAATTGTCATGGACCTAAAGTTGTCCTGCAGACCATCATTTGTAAATACTGTTAAAGATATGATGCCTACCTGCGACCTCTTGGTCACATTGGATCATTAAGTGCTTTTCACGTGTAGAAATTATATACTAAGTAATTGCATAAGTAGGCATATCACTTAACTGGTATTTCTGGGACTTTATTTTTCATATTTAAAATTAGATACTTTCTAACTTTAACTCTATAGTCCTGACAAGAAATGGTTGAGATTCAGGTAAGGTGGGAAAAATACAGACAGCATGTGATCTCGGAGAATAAACTTCGCTCATCCGTACCGTATGTCTCACTAGAACAGTGTTGTTAATATCTCTGTATTGTATTAAGAATTGAATGATACTTGTTTCATGACATCTGTTTATATGAATCATACAATGTGGGCCATAATGGTGAGCCCTTTAAAACATGTGACAGAAGATAAAGTTAAAAATAAATGATAACATGACGTTTCTTCATAAAGATAATATAATTTTTTAATTTTTATTTTTCCATTCAATTATTTATACTTTCTTCCCTCCTCCCAATCCCCTCCCGCTCCCCCACACCCCTTCCTACCTCTCCCACCCTGCTTGAGAGAGGGCTGGAAATCCTGCCCTGTGGGAAGTTCAAGGCCCTCCCCTCAACATCCAGGCCTAGGGAGCTGTGTATCCATAAAGACTAGGATCCCAAAAAGCCAAAACATGCTGTAAAAACAAGTTCCAGTGCCTTTATCAATGGCTTCTCAGTCAGCCCCCATTGTCAGCCACAATCAGAGAGTTCGGTTTGATCACATGCTCATTCCGACCCAGTCTAGTTGGATTTGGTGAGCTCCCATTAGAACAGGCACACTGCCTCAGTTGGTGGACCAACCCCTCGCGGTCCTGACTTCCTTGCTCATCTTCTCCCTCCTTCTTCCTTTCAACTGGACCTTGGGAGTTCAGTTCATTGTTCTGATGAGGGTCTCTGTCTCTACCTCCATCTGTCGCTAGACGAAGATTCTATGGTGATATTCGAGATAATCATCAGCGTGATAGTGGGGCAAGGACAATTCAGGCACCCTCTCCTCTGCTGTCCAAGGACCTAGCTGGGGACATCCCCATGGACACCTGGGATCCCCTCTAGAGCCAAGTCTCTTGCCAACCCTAAAATGGATCCCTTACTGTCGGTATCTTCTTCCCTACTCCTATATCTGCCCTTCCTCCATCTCCACCCTCCCACTCCCCCAAGATCTTGCCAGTCCTTCCCTTCTCCCTTCCCTCTCCCCCTCAACCCTTCCCCTAACTTTACCCCACCCCTGCCCCCACCTCCATGCTCACGACTTTTTTAAGTATGAAAAGAAACTTGTTCTAGATTTCTAGATTATGAAAGATTTTTAAACTCTCAATATCCAAATTCAACACACCATGTTTTATTGGTAAAATACAACTGGTATGTACAGAAGTTCCAGAACAATCAATGAATATCAACTGGGTAGTACTTGGAGATGTTTTAATAGTCAGTGGCTATTATTCTGTGTTTAAAAATTATTGCTAATTTTATCAGGCATGATACGGGCTATAGAGGATCATGATAGATATATAGGTACTGGGGAATAAACAGTCATTCTGGGACACCTGCAGTTTACTTTGAAGTGACTCAGCAAGAGAGAGAGGAAGAAGGGGAGACAGGAAATGGGAATAAAATAAGCAATTAAGGCAAAATTTTGGTAATTTTCATCCAGATTATTGTATTATGATGGTTTATTATACAAAGCTTTTGATTTCTTGTGCATTTGAAAATTCTTACATAAATAGTTTTTGAATGGTGCATCTGCATTGATATGCAGAGATGTCTAAGAAACATAGAGAAAATAAAACAAAAAACAAACAAGGGGATATGCAGGACAATCTCATTATGTGTATTTCCTTCCCTTCCATTCTAGTTGCCTTTATAAGGTTGGAATAATAAACAGGAAAATCTGCGTCCTGCCTTATTTCTTTTTTCCAGGAAGTCTAGTAGATTTAGGGGAATAAACAAAAGAAATTTACTTTTCGTGATTTTTTAAACATTAATTTGTACATTCATATGTATCTTCAGTTTTATTTCTAGTGTTGATATTAAAGTGGTATCCAGAATTCTTTGATTAATCATTATTAGACTTTTACCCCCAAATTATTAATGTTTCTCTGAAGTAGAATCTACCCTGAAATATGATAGCGCATATACTCTGAAAGAAATAGCTTCCTCGAAAATGCCATCTGGCCGTGGTGAATCAGTCATAAAGAAACTCAAGTCAGTCAGGATACAAAGTACAAAGAGCTGAGGATAAGACTGTGTGCTGCAGATTCTCCATGCACCAGAGTAGAAAAGGTATCTAGGTAGTTCCATTCTAGACACACACTCCACAGACACACATGCGCGTGCACACATACACACACACACACCCCACATATAAAACACACCCACTTTCACAAACACATACACTTGGTTCAACTGTCTCTTTCACCTTTACGGCTTTAATTTTTCCTGTCAGAGTGTCTGTTTCTCAGCTAACCAGGTTACAGTGTTATTTTAGAGAGAAAGGCAGCATCTATTTCTCTAGCCTTTTCCTTCTTCTTGCTCTTACCAAGTGCTCTTTTCCTGAAGAGATTAAAGAATAAATTGACTGGAACTAGGAAATAATGGGCAGGCTAAAAGCAACTTTGTCAGTAGCTGAAGAGATTATGACTCTCCAGAGGATGTTAACTCTCCAATCTTACCCAGGCCTGCTCTGGTGGGGACAGGCAGACCAAGCCTGAGCCTGTTTAGAGTCAGGGAGGTAAATGCTAAGGTCAGTTCTAAAAGGCGTTCTATGGTGGCTCTGCCACCATGTCACAATGTGCTCCAATGGTTGATGTCACCCGTCTAGCTGTTATTGTCCATGCAATCCCAGTTTGTTCTGTTTGTTGTGTCATGACTGGCTGTCTGTCAGCTTCACACTAACGTATTAAGCTGTAGTTTTCTTGCTTCCAATTTTTGTGTGTGGCAACTCTGCTAGTCTCTAAGACACTAAAGCACTGTGAGGGTTCAGCTGTCACTAATGTCCCACTGTCCAGCACCACTGCCATACTGATGCCCAATATCATGTTTGGTCCCTTCCGGCATTGTGTGCCTGTGTACTGTACTCATACACTCCACAGTTCTCTATCAAATCCCTTCCCACAGTCCCTGAACCAATAACTAAGGTAAATTAGATGATGACTAGATAACATTAGCAATGTGAACAAGGCCAGAAGTCAGAATCAAGCAAGCTGCTTCCTCTGTGGACTTGTGACAAGTATTTATCAAGTACAGGACACTCTATAGCGCTTCGTAGGATCAATAAAAATTCGCCCAAGTCAAGTATTGATGAGATGGCTTCATGTCTGTATTGATCCATCGGATTTTGTCCAATCAACTTCAAAAGTGTGCCTGGAGAGTCATCACATCGTATGTTTCATAGCAATATACATGGGATACTGTATGATGCATATTTCACATTGTTTTGCTAAAATATAGCAGCATTGGAACAATGTTCATAAGTGGAAAGACAGTTTAACTAAATGACATTTTATGAACTTAAACTGAGCCACCCTGCTTACACTGAGGTTCCGGGATCCTTGCCTCCTCCAGTCACCAAGCCACCTTCGTGTCTGACTGCATCTGCAACCTTACAAGTCAAAGGGAAGGAAAGAGAAGAAGACAAATACCCTGGGGTTTACTGATTATTGGGGCTCAGGGTGGAAAAAATGTACCCATCATCCAATGACAACAATCCCAGAATCTAA